GGAAGGCCAAGATCGTGCATAGTACACACTAGTAGAATCAAGCCAGTATTGTTGTCACAATTCAGTGGTAAAGACATTACAGCGGTAATTTTGGAGAGAAATAATAATAATTCTCGCTTGTCGAAAGTAGTAGTGGTTTCTTTATATATGCCATATGATGAAAGGGATCCGATAACAGTATTACTAGACCTGCTGGTTGATTGGTGTGCTCGACAAGGAGCGAGTATGATAATAGGCGCTGATGCGAATGCTTGTCATGTTTCATGGGGGAGCTCGGTTACCAACGATAGAGGTGTGAAATTAATGGATTTTATCAATAATAACGGCCTGATCTGGTTGAACGAGGGATCGACACCGACGTTTTCAATGTCGGTGAGGGAGGAGGTGCTAGACGTGACGATGGTATCGATGGAGATTCGGTCTGCTCTCAGTAGTTGGAGAGTATTGGATGACCCGTCGTTGTCAGACCATACGTTCATCTCGTTCGTTCTGAAAGTCAGAGGCATTCAAGCGAGTAGGATTGTAAGTGAAAAGAAATCGCTGAACGTGGAGCGATTCATGGAAAGTTTAGGAAACAAACTGACCGATTCTCCTAGGGTGTATGGTACCCCAGATGAGATTGATGCGTACATGGAATTCATTACTACGGCAATAGTTGAGGCGGCCAGTGGGCCACTGACCCGAAAGTTGAAGGGTTATCACAGTAAACTTCCTTGGTGGAACCTGAACTTACAACAATTGAATGAGAAAAGTAAGAGATTATGAAAGAAGGCCCGAAGAACAAAGAGAATGAGTGACAAACGGAAAGCGCGTACAGCTGACCTGAAACTAGACAGAGAGATACGGAAAGCAAAAAAGAAATCGTGGAGAGAGTTTTGCAAAGGATTGAATAAGATGCAAGACATTGCTAGGATAAACAAGATCTTGGAAAGGGTGGAGCAGAACAATTTAGGGTTGTTAAAAAGGGAAAATGGCACCCTGACCAATAATATTAAGGAAACGTTGGAACTTCTTATCTCAGAACATTTCCCAGGAGCGATGAATGATTCGAACGAAGCCCTGACAATGGGCGCTGCGTCAGAGGACGTCCTCTCTTCACGCGGCGCCAGACCTGATTGGAGTTTGGCGTCAAAGATAATATCAGAGGAAAAAATCAGCTGGGCGATTGGTACGTTCCTTCCGTATAAAACACCAGGTCCTGATGGGATTCTACCCAAATACCTGAAGGTTCGGACGATCGTTAATCTCGTCGCACTTGGCCAAGGTGATGAGGGCAAGCCTAGTAATTGGTCACGTGCCGGATATCTGGAGAAGAACGAAAATAACGTTTATACCAAAGCCTGGCAAGACAGACTACGCTACACCTAAAGCGTTCAGACCTATCAGTCTAACGTCGTTCCTCTTGAAGACCATGGAGAAGCAAATCGACAGATATATCAAGGATGAGGTACTGATGGAACATCCGCT